TGGACATGTTTACTTCATCACACAAGGACATGTTTACTTCATCACACATGGACATGTTTACTTCATCACACATGGACATGTTTACTTCATCACACAAGGACATGTTTACTTCATCACACATGGACATGTTTACTTCATCACACATGGGCATGTTTACTTCATCACCCAGGGACATGTTTACTTCATCACCCAGGTACATGTTTACTTCATCACCCAGGGACATGTTTACTTCATCACCCAGGGACATGTTTACTTCATCACACATGGACATGTTTACTTCATCACACATGGACATGTTTACTTCATCACACAGGGACATGTTTACTTCATCACACATGGACATGTTTACTTCAACACACAGGGACATGTTTACTTCATCACACAGGGACATGTTTACTTCATCACACAGGGGCATATTTACTTCATCACACAGGGATATGTTTACTATATCACCCTGGGTCGATAGAGTTAACATTAACCTGGGTCATTATAATAAACTTTACTCTAGGTCGATAGAGTTAACCTCACCCTAGGTCGATAGAGTTAATCTCACCCTGGGTGGATAGAGTTTAAATCACCCTGGGTCGATAGAGTTAACCTCACCCTGGGTGGATAGAGTTAGAATCACCCTGGGTCGATATAATAAACATCATTCTGGGTCAATAGAGTTAAAATCGCCTTGGTTCGATACATAAACATCAACGTGGGTCGATACAATAACATCACCCTGGGTTGATGCAATTGACATCACCCAGAGACGATATTTTAAACATTAACCTGGGGTGATGCAGTAAACTTGGTTGCATTTCCGGCAAAGCGATTTGGCCTGAATAAAGTTGAATATCAGCATTCATAATAATAGTTTTCTTATTCTTATCAGTGTTAGTAGCTACAACAAAAGCAGTTGTGGTTATGGAGATAATAGTAGCAGTAGCACCAGCGACATTCGTAATAATATTTTTCTAAAATAAGTAGATGTCCCTTTTCCACGCCCATAGGCGTATAGGGCATTTAGGGCTATACCTTTATTTCTATAGACCAATCGGTACAAGATGGGTGATGCATTCAGCATCACGCCGCCGCCTCTACTTCCTGGGACTGCACCCGTTACCCACTCAAGGCTAAGTCAACCTGGGAGTCAAGGTCATTTTTGAAAAGAGCCCAGCTGCGCTAGGGAGCGAACCCACGAGATTCCGATCCGCACGCCACGGCGACTCCCGCATCCGTAAAAATAGTAATCGGAATTACAATCATGGCCGTATAGTAGTAATAGTAGTGTTAGCTATAGAAGTCGAAGTACAGAGTAGTAGTGATGATGGTGGCATTAGCCACTGCAACAATAGTATAAGGTTAACAAAAATGTCAAGGACCGTTCTAAGGCTAGTAATACAAATGAAGGCAGTAATAGACGCTAATTATTAGATAGCCATACATACCATCAGCATTCCAGTCAGTAGAAGTAATCTCTCGTCGACAAACGTTTCGGCCCACGAGCTCCTAGACGTTTTCAGAGAGTGGGCCCACCTGAGTTCATGAAGCTCAGGGTTGGTTTCCCTGCTGCACGAAATTACCGGATGGTGTTTGGATAGGTACAAGACGACTTGGTGATTTGCAGAAGGTACTGTGAGATAAGAAGTCGTCGCGGTAGCATAATTAAAACAGTCTGCATACCTGATGGACTTTCAAGGGATGAGAAACACTTTTCCACTAGACACCCGGATCAGCTCACCGAGGTCCATCCCCTACGTTGTTTCGTTGCGTCCAGAGCCAGCTCGAGGCCCTCTCAGCAACCTGAGTGTCTGCGTTCATTACCGAGTAATCCTAGTTCTTTAACCACATTGTAGAGCGAAGTGAAAACGAGGCCTCTCGCTCCCACTTCAACGGCAAAGACCCGTACTGTGTACGCACCGTCTCCTCTTAGACCGGCTGCTAAATCACGGTATTTCTCGAGCTTATACATGTGATTTTCGTCCATTCGCGACTCGTACGGGACGGTCAGCTCAATCAGGATGAGCTGCCGTTTTTCCGCAGAGTGAAGAACTATGTAAGGTCGCAGACCGGTCTTCCGAATTAACTCAGGGTACTTTTCATGGCCCGACAGATCAATCGCCAGTAACCAGTCCCTCGCAGAGTCTAGCATAGATGGAGCGAATGCGCCTTTGTTGATTCTACCTTTTTGAATTTGCCCAGCCTTGAGAAAACGTATAGGGACGACGGTAGGACTGGCTCTAGCGTTAGCCCGCATCATAGCCTGGTCAACAACGGCTGCTAACTCCTTGTTGTGTCGCCAGGTATATCGGCCTTGACCTAGGGCTTTCCTGCATGCGAATAGGACGTGTCTGCTTCGCTTTGCACAGCGGGCAAGTCGGATCGTTAGTCGCAGACCACTTAACCATGTTAACTCCGGACGGTAATACATCGTACGCCGAACGAACCATAAAGCTCAGTCGCAGCGGGGTCATTCGCCAGATCTCACCCCATGTGAGTACTCTTGGCAATGCGCTCTCCAGGCTGACCCAATGGCCTTGCTGCGACTGTTGGGCTGCTTTCTGGACCCGAACCTCGTTTTCGTTGTCCCTAACCTGTTGTATCACCATGTCTCGGCGTTCTTTGGGTGTGGCTTGGGATCACCAATTGAGCTTCCCGTGACCTAGGCCTCGACGGTCGGTTTGAGTGTATCCCATTATCTCCTTCAATTTTAGTGCATTCTGAGCAGATTCTATCGCATCGAGGACTCTTCACTTCTGACCAGTCTTTAGAGCGGGCTGGACAGCGATGACATTTGGGTCTGAAGACTCGCGCAAGAGCATGGCGAGTCTTACTTTGCCGACTTTAAACTCTTCGGTTATCGATTTGAACGGGAGTACCAGCTTAGCCATAAAGGCCCTGTCCGTAGCCGGTCGCCCTGTCCAACATGATCTGCATGGCCATGACGAACAGTATGGTTGAGATCGTACAGCCCATAGCTATCCCAACTTGTAGCTCTGTCCACATCGTGGTAAAAGTCGAGGTAGAGAAGCGCAAAGCGAACTTGGAGAAATATTGCTCGATTATTTGGTTGATCAGTGTCGGTACGTGAAACATGCGAAAGGCCTGCCACAGTAGCCTATGGGGAACTGCCCCGCAGGCCTTGGCGAGGTCTAACCATATAACGTGCAATTGAGTTCTCTCAAGCGTGGCTCTCTGAATAGACTCCCAAATCCTGGTCGCGTGTTCAAGGCACCCAGGAACGCCCGGAATACTACCCTTTTGAACACTCTATTCGATGTACTTGTTAGCCATCAGATACTGCGAGATGGGCCTGAATTGGGAAAGACTCTTCGAGTCCTGCTCTTTGGGAATGTAGACCCCGTTTGCCCGTTGCCACTCTGGACATATGTGTTTTCGGCTCCAAGCTTGTCTCAACAAGCCGTGAAGCATTCGTAGGATTTTCGGACAACGCTTGTAAAGAACGTACGGAACACCATTCGGACATGGAGCAGACTAGCCGCTGGCTCGTTTCACAATTTCCTCAACCTCAGACCAAAGGGGAGGTATCAGTTTAAATGGTACCTTCGGCAACTCAGGCTGCATGAGGCCGCTAAGGATCTCTGGATTGTTATCGAGAGACTCGTTCCTCTTTTTGTCAGAGTACATCTTGCGTAGATGTGACTCAAGCTCGTCCTGACTGACAACCAGAGTCCCAGACTTCGGTTGCTCGAATAGATCTCGGGCAAACTGGAACGGGTCCCTGAAGAATTTCTCTCGCTCCCTTTTGGTTCTTCTCCTGTTGTTGCAGAAACGCTCGGCGCGACAGAGGGCACTGTGTCTGTTCTTTAAATGCAACCAGACTTCATGCAGCCCCTCCCATTCACCTGTAGCGGCTTTGAACCGTTTTCTGAGGGCATTCTTGTCTGCCCGACACTTCAGAATGTCCCTCTGTCTCCTGCTAGTATTCTGTTTGGCACTCGGCTGTGCCTTTTCCACTGTCCCGAACTGACGGAAGCAGTGTTCATATATTACATCACCACATTTTGTAAGCTTTTCACCTAACGACTTCTTTTTTAAATCATGATTAAGTATCTCACATAATGTACTCTCTAACTTACACCACGACACCTTATCGCTCGCAGGTGGAAACCTGATTTTGGAACGCACTTCCAAAGTGCTCCTCCGCAGTCAACGTCATGGGCCTCTCCGGGCGAGTTGGGTTCACCCTGTCCGTCGTTCCCTAAGGACTCAGAAACTACCACAGGAGTAATAGTTTTGCGACGACGTTTACTGCGTGGAGCACCCTGGCATTTCATCCTTCCGGCATGCGTTCTCAGACCATGCAACCCCGTGAAGCTCTTTCCACATGTACAGAGCCAGCCCGGACGTTGAGCAAGAATCGGAGTCTGGGAGCTAGCACTGTCGTTCATAATATACCACTAACAAAAGACTTCCAATTTCACTAACTTACGACTCTGATTTAACTGTGTGTTTTGGGGCTTTTCAATCTGTTGCTTTTACCTTGTCAATTCCCCCCCCCCCCCCCCCCCAAAAAAAAAAGACCAAAAAAATGTGATTCCTGTGTTGCATACGCAAGTTTCCCATCAAACAACCCCCCCCCCCCTCCCCCACCCCACCCCACACCGATTGTCTACTGTGTCCTCGTGAGATTAAATGCGCAGTAGCAAGTATGTCATCAAAGCTCAGTTCCCTTCGCCCAGTGACCAGACAATGAACAGTTTATATTTCCATGTACTGTGTGTGATCTTTCTTGCACATCCGCACTCACTATCTTATTCAGGACATAAGGAGTTTCGCTCGAGGTCGCTACTTCCCCTCCTAGACAAACATTTTGGAGACAATAAATCTTCCTCCTCCTCTTCCTCCTCCTCTTCCTCCTCCTCTTACTCCTCCTCTTCCTCCTCCTCCTCTTCCTCCTCCTCTGCCTCCTCCTCTGTCTCCTCCTCTTCCTATTCCTCTTCCTCCACCTCTTCCTCCTCCTCTTCCTATTCCTCTTCCTCCTCCTCTTCCTAATCCTCTTCCTCCTCCTCTTCCTCCGCCTCTTCCTCCTCCTCTTCCTCCTCCTCTTCCTCCTCCTCCTCTTCCTCCTCCTCTTCCTCCTCCTCTTCCTCCTCCTCTTCCTCCTCCTCTTCTCCTCCTCTTCCTCCTCCTCTTCCTCCTCTTCCTCGTCCTCCTCCTCTTCTTCCTCCTCCTCTTTCTCCTCCTCTTCCACCTCCTCTTCCTCCTCTTCTTCCTCCTCTTCTTCCTCCTCCTCTTCCTCCTCCTCTTTGTCCTCCTCCTCTTACACCTCTTCTTCCTCCTCCTCCTCTTCCACCTCCTCTTCCTCCTCCTCCCCAAATTCCTCCTCCTACTCCTCTTCTTCCTCCTCCTCCTCTTCTTCCTCCTCCTCCTCCACTTCTTCCTACTCTTCCTCCTCCTCTTCCTCCTCTTCCTCCTCCTCTTCATCCTCCTCTTCCTCCTCCTCCTCTTCCTCCTCCTCCTTTTCCTCCTCTTCCTCCTTTTCCTCCTCCTCCTCTTCTTCCTCCTCCTCCTCTTCTTCTTCTGCTTCCTCTTCTTCTTCTGCTTCCTCTTCTTCTTCTGCTTCCTCTTCTTCTTCTGCTTCCTCTTCTTCTTCTGCTTCCTATTCTTTTTCTGCTTCCTCTTCGTCTTCTGCTTCCTCTTCTTCTTCTGCTTCCTCTTCTTCGTTTGCTTCCTCTTCTTCTTCTGCTTCCTCTTCTTCTTCTGCTTCCTCTTCTTCTTCTACTTCCTCTTCTTCTTCTACTTCCTCTTCTTCTTCTGCTTCCTCTTCTTCTTTCTTCTTTCTTTCTTCTTCTCTTCTGCTTCTTCTTCTTCTTCTGCTTCCTCTTCTTCTTTCTCTTCCTCTTCTTCTTCTGCTTCCTCTTCTTCTTCTGCTTCCTCTTCTTCTTCTGCTTCCTCTTCTTCTTCTGCTTCCTCTTCTTCTTCTGCTTCCTCTTCTTCTTCTGCTTCCTCTTCTTCTTCTGCTTCCTTTTCTTCTTCTGCTTCCTCTTCTTCTTCTGCTTCCTCTTCTTCTTCTGCTTCCTCTTCTTCTTCTGCTTCCTCTTCTTCTTCTGCTCCTCTTCTTCTTCTTCTGCTTCTTCTTCTTCTTCTGCTTCTTCTTCTTCTTCTCTGCTTTCTCTTCTTCCTCTGCTTCTTCTCTTCTTCTTCTGCTTCCTCTTCTTCTTCTTCTTCTTCTTCTTCTTCTTCTTCCTCTTCTTCTTCTTCTTCTTCTTCTTCTTCTCCCTCTTCTTCTTCTTCTTCTTCTTCTGCTTGCTCTTCTTCTTCTGCTTGCTCTTCTTCTTCTGCTTCCTCTTCTTCTTCTTCTTCTCTTCTTCTTTTCTTCTTCTTCTTCTTCTGCTCTTCTTCTTCTTCTTCTTCTTCTTCTTCTTCTTCTCTTCTTCTTCTTCTTCTCTTCTTCTTCTCTTCTTCTGCTTCCTCTTCTTCTTCTGCTTCCTCTTCTTCTTCTGCTTCCTCTTCTCTTCTTCTCTTCTTCTTCTTCTTCTTCTTCTTCTTCTTCTTCTGCTTCCTCTTCTTCTTCTGCTTCCTCTTCTTCTTCTGCTTCTCTTCTTCTTCTTCTGCTTGCTCTTCTTCTTCTGCTTTCTCTTCTTCTCTTCTGCTTCCTCTTCTTCTTCTGCTTCTTTCTTCTTCTTCTTCTGCTTCCTCTTCTTCTTCTGCTTCCTCTTCTTCTTCTGCTTCTTCTCTTCTTCTTTCTTCCTCTTCTTCTTCTTCTTCTCTTCTCTTCTTCTTCTTCTTCTTCTTCTTCCTCTTCTTCTTCTGCTTCTTCTTCTTCTTCTGCTTCCTCTTCTTCTTCTGCTTCCTCTTCTTCTTCTGCTTCCTTCTTCTTCTTCTGCTTCTTCTTCTTCTTCTTCTGCTTCCTCTTCTTCTTTTGCTTCCTCTTCTTCTTCTGCTTCTCTCTTCTTCTCTGCTCTCTTCTTCTTCTTCTTCTGCTTCCTCTTCTTCTTCTGCTTCTCTTCTTCTTCTTCTTCCTCTTCTTCTTCTTCTTCCTCTTCTTCTTCTTCTTCCTCTCTTCTTCTTCTTCCTCTTTTCTCTCTCTTCTTCTTCTTCTTCCTCTTCTTCTTCTTCTTCTTTCTTCTGCTTTCTCTTCTTTTTCTGCTTTCTCTTCTTCTTCCCTCTTCTTCTTCTGCTTCCTCTTCTTCTTCTGCTCCTCTTCTTCTTCTTCTTCTTCCTCTTCTTCTTCTTCTCTTCCTCTTCTTCTTCTGCTTCCTCTTCTTCTTCTGCTTCCTCTTCTTCTTCTGCTTCCTCTTCTGCTTCCTCTTCTTCTTCTGCTTCCTCTTCTTCTTCAGCTTCCTCTTCTTCTTATGCTTCCCCTTCTTCTTCAGCTTCCTCTTCTTCTTCTGCTTCCTCTTCTTCTTCAGCTTCCCCTTCTACTTCTGCTTCCCCTTCTTCTTCTGCTTCCCCTTCTTCTTCTGCTTCCCCTTCTTCTTCTGCTTCCCCTTCTTCTTCTGCTTCCTCTTCTTCTTCTTCTTCTTCCTTCTTCTTCTGCTTCCTCTTCTTCTTCTTCTTCCTCTTCTTCTTCTGCTTCCTCTTCTTCTTCTGCTTCTTCTTCTTCTGCTTCCTCTTCTTCTTCTGCTTCCTCTTCTTCTTCTGCTCCCTCTTATTCTTCTGCTTATTCTTCTTTTTCTGCTTTCTCTTCTTCTTCTGCTTCCTCTTCTTCTTCTGCTTCCTCTTCTTCTTCTGCTTCCTCTTCTTCTTCTGCTTCCTCTTCTTCTTCTGCTTCCTCTTCTTCTTCTGCTTCCTCTTCTTCTTCTGCTTCCTCTTCTTCTTCTGCTTCCTCTTCTTCTTCTGCTTCCTCTTCTTCTTCAGCTTCCTCTTCTTCTTCTGCTTCCCCTTCTTCTTCTGCTTCCCCTTCTTCTTCAGCTTCCCCTTCTACTTCTGCTTCCCCTTCTTCTTATGCTTCCCCTTCTTCTTCTGCTTCCCCTTCTTCTTCTGCTTCCCCTTCTTCTTCTGCTTCCTCTTCTTCTTCTGCTTCCTCTTCTTCTTCTGCTTCCCCTTCTTCTTCTGCTTCCTCTTCTTCTTCTGCTTCCTCTTCTTCTTCTGCTTCCTCTTCTTCTTCTGCTTCCTCTTCTTCTTCTGCTTCCTCTTCTTCTTCTGCTTCCTCTTCTTCTTCTGCTTCCTCTTCTTCTTCTGCTTCCTCTTCTTTTTCTGCTTCCTCTTCTTCTTCTGCTTCCTCTTCTTCTTCTTCTTCTGCTTCCTCTTCTTCTTCTGCTTCCTCTTCTTCTGTTTCCTCTTCTTCTTCTGCTTCCTCTTCTTCTTCTGCTTCCTCTTCTGCTACTTCTTCTTCTTCCTCTTCCTCTTCTGCCTTCTCTTCTTCTTCCTCTTCCTTTTCTTCTTCCTCTTCCTCTTTCTCTTCCTCCTCTTCCTCCTCCTCCTTCTCCTCGTCTTCTTCTTCCTCTTCCTCTTCCGCTTCCTCTTCCGCTTCCTCTTCCGCTTCCTCCTCTTCTGCTTCCTCTTCTGCTTCCTCTTCGTCTTTCTCTTCCTCCTCCTCTTCCTCCTCCTCTTCCTCCTCCTCTTCCTCCTCCTCTTCCTCCTCCTCTTCCTTCTATTCTTCCTCCTTCTTTTCCTCCTCCTCTTCCTCCTCCTCTTCCTCCTTCTCTTCCTCCTCCTCTTCCTCTTCCTCCTCCTCTTCCTTTTCCTCTTCCTCATCTTCTTCCTCCTCCTCTTCCTTTTCCTCTTCATCTTCCTCTTCCTCCTCCTCTTCCTCCTCTTCCTCCTCTTCCTCTTCTTTCTCCTCTTCCTCCTGCTTCTCCTGCTGCTTCTGCTGCTCCTGCTGCTTCTGCTGCTCCTGCTGCTCCTGCTGCTGCTGCTTCTTCTTTTTCTTCTTCTTCTGCCTTTCTATCCCCCAATGGAGCATAGGCCGTCAATCAACTTACACCCAATCGTTCTATCCTTCGCCATTAAATGGAGCTCTCCCCATATCGTCTCCATCCAGCTCTCTTCTCCATGTGTATTTCAGCCTTCCTTTATTCTTATGCCCCTGTGGGTTCTAATGCAAAGACATTCTAGTTATTCTGTTCTCCTAAAATTTTTTAGTTTATTATTTCTTTAAATTTCTTTTGACCTCCACAAAAATTCCCTAGTTCTATGAAAGCTCCTCTTGCCTTTTGTATTCTTATTTTAATGTCTTTATCAGTTCCTCCATCTTTATCTACAATTCTGCAAAAACAGGTTTACGACTCCGCGTCTTGGAGTGGAGTGCCATTAAGAGAACCCACATTACTATTTGCCTGGTTTATTCTCATTATCTTCTTCTTTCCTTTATGGATTTTCAGATCAGACCAAGCTGCCGTGATCTCGCATCAAGTATACTTAATTAATTCATCTTGCATCTGATTCTATGAATGGGACAGAAGATAAATATCATCAGCGAATACGTAATGTAGCTATCTGGTCAGTACAGGATCTGTTGGACCGAAAATCTGCCTGTTCATCTCTTAGGTTTTTATCAAAAGCATGTTTTAATCTTTCCAAAATAATTCTACTTAATATTTTTCCAGGAACTGACAGAAACATAATTCCTCTTTAGTTTTCGCACTCCTGTAGATCGCCTTTTTTTTTGGGGGGGGGGGGGGGGGTGGAGTTTCACAAAAAATCATTCTCTCCAGTTTCCAGTCTGCTGGTATTTCTTCGGTCTCCCAGACTTTACTAACAAATTTATGTAGCAATTTTGATGATGTGTTTATGTTGCCCCTAATGGCTTCAGCTGGGATACCATCTGGGCCTGCCGCCTCTCCTTCCTTGAGAAGATTGATAGCTTTTCTAATTTCATCTTTAGATGGTATCTCACAGTTGATATCCAGTTCCATTTCTAAATGCTGGATATCTGAGGAAACCTCTGGACCTGGTCTATTTAGAAGCGTTTCAAAATATTCATCCCATCTGTCCATTTGATCTTTAGTGTTAGTAAGTATCTTTCCCACTATTTTTGATTGATCCAGTTGGCTGTCTATATTTACTTACTAATTCTCCTTACGGCTTTCTCCAAACCGTGTCATACTTCTCCTACTTGAATAGCCTACCCTCATCTTGGTTGGCTGGGTTTTACTTGCTTCTCTTTTTGACTAATCCATGGTTGGTTGGTTTTTGTGGCTATTGTTTTTACAGGATGAGGTAGGCAACCTCAAGCCTAACCCTACCCTTAGTCACCTCTTACGACATGCCTGGTAGGATGTAGTGTCACTATTCTTTGCTTCCCGTGAGGGTCCCGTTGACACACGGGCGAATAGATTTTGGTTACGCCTAAAAAATGTCCCCAATACGGGTTCCAGGGTTTCACTGTGGGGAAACAAGCCCACTTCCTCCTCAAAAACTATGTCGTAAGGGTCGACTAAATGGGGGTTTCCTTCAAAGTTGGAGTGCAACTGCCTGATGGACAAGGAAAC